ATGTATAGTAGTTGATGCCATCTGATAGTCAAATATAGCATGTATAGTAGGTGATGTCATCTGATAGTCAAATATAGCATGTATAGTAGTTGGTTTCATATGATGGTCAAATATGGCATGTATAGTAGTTGGTGTCATATGATGGTCAAATATAGCATGTATAGTAGGTGATGTCATCTGATAGTCAAATATAGCATGTATAGTAGTTGGTGTCATATGATGGTCAAATATGGCATGTATAGTAGTTGATGTCATATGATGGTCAAATATGGCATGTATAGTAAGCATGTATAGTAGGTGATGCTATGCTATGCGCTCCTATTGACGTGGGCTTGGTGGGCTGGGTTAAACCCCGAAATCAATGTTACTGTTGATAGAGATAAAACGAACTACTATAAACATAAGTTTACCTACATGCACGACTACTTTATCAATCTCTCTAATAAATGTGGTTTATAAATTGAAGGGAATGTTGCGTGTAATTTGTAGTAGTGTAAAAGAAATTCGATGGTTATTAGAGATCTAAAGGCAGGAAAAACTAGGTTTCGGTATGCTGTTTTGTACTTTGTACTTTAATTGACACAATTACAGTTAGAAAAGCTGTTTTACATACTGAACGTTTCATTCAAATCCAAAAGAAGAGTCATAGCGCCATCAATCGGTTTCCGTGCGAGAATGGAGGGTTGAATTCTAGCTCGCGCAATTTGTTCAGGCTACTCGCTGGTTTACATGGTTCCCCCATATGTTATGTTTATAAACCTTAAGTATGGTAAAACGGCTTTTCTGGCAACACTGTAAAATGTCATAGAGGAATTAAAAAGGTTGCATAAAAATAGAAAAACAAACAACAACAACAACAACACAATTTACATTCAACTAAAACAGACGATAATAATACAAGTTCCACAACCCCAATTTCCTATAACTGAATACTGGAGCACACCAAATATTATCGTATCTGTGGGCAATATTTGAGGAATTGCAAGTTCGAGTGTCGTTGTCATGTATAGGCCAAGTCGACTATGGATGGGCATGCTCATTACGCATTTATTCTGAGTTGATAAGTCACTGAAGTTAGGAATGCACTTTGTCGCTTCTTCAAATAAAAGTTTTCTTTTGTCTCTATATAAGAAGCATGATGCTAAAAATGGATATCATTTGTTAGAATTAATAAGTATTTTCCTGGTCGAATTTATTTTTTAATTTCTTGTATCTTCTCAACTTATTTGCCGTATTAGGTTTGTTTCAAATTTCACTTGTCCAATATGATTCATACACATTTAAATTTTTGTTGTGGGTCTGTGATTACATTCGTCAAATTAATTATATATGTGTGTTTGGTTTATACACAATCCCAGTGCAGGGACTGTGATTCATATTAAGGTGGCGATGCACCCATGTTGCGTACGAACGGCGTTTGTGAAATGAAGTACCGGTACACAAGAAACGAAACTGATCTTCCCGAAACATGATTTGCATATTACTGTTAAGCTCCAGCAGTCAATCAACCTTAATTATACAAGAATTATGTAAATTAAACAGTTAAACTAAGACCATGGCACATGCGTTTGTTTTTAATAATTTAAACCTAGTTTATAAGGTGTTCTACTCACAATAGAGTTTTGAAATTTTCACTCAAGAACAAGAACGTTTTTTTTCTATATAAAAAGTTAAAAAAGTGAAATTTCACCTCTAAATGCATTTTTCCCTGCATCGCCATCTTAATTAGTTGTGGTGCTGTAGCAGTGTTTTACCATTTATTATTCAATTCATTGTTTACAGTGATAGTGTTTTTTTCGGTAGTGAGTTAGATGCGTTTATTATACGATTATTATATTTTATTAATTGATTTTTAAGGTAGAGATGCAGGTTTGTGGGCACTTGGGAGTGAAATTTTTGTTTGTTTTTTATTATCTAAACAGTCTTGGCTATAAACTGCTAAAATTTTGTAGAATTATGAATAGTGGAACATACTCAAAAAACTATTTTAAAATATAGATAACAGGTGCAAACATTCTCTCTTTTGAATGTTTAGCAAGATTTAGCAATAATAAAAAAGAAACATGGTGAAAAAAAGAAATGACGGGACCTCCATATTATGCACTATATTTAACTTTTAACAAAACTAAAATACATTTAAATTTGGAACTGTTACAGTCATTTTAATTATGAGTATTAGCAAACTTCTTACTGAGTAAATTGTTATGCAAATTAGCAATTATTTCAGCTTCTTTTTAGTGCACATCCCAGAACTTTAAAAAAAAATAGCTCCTAGACGCTTTGACTTTTTGTTTTGAAATTTTCACAAATGATTGACAATGTGTTTATCTTCAAAACGCCGTCGGGACATTGTTTTTGGTTGAACAGTGTTACAACAATCGTGCTGACAACTAGACTGTTAATTTATGCATAAACTTGAAGTAGTGAAATTTGGCGCTGCAAAATTGACAAGTGGTAGACAGTTTTCAAGACGGCACTTTCTTCCTAGTAAACAGATGTACCCACAAACCAATTTTGACAGGAAACAGAAGCATGGTTTAGGAGCTATTTTTTTTTAAATCACTTTTGACCAAAAAAGCACATTTTTGTGCATATTTCAAACTACAGTGTTCAAAAAATACTAACAAAATTTTAAATTTATACAATAAGCTTTCCGAAAATATATAGTTTTGTGGACAAGGGAGGTCATTTTGGTTTCCTAATTAACTAATTAAAATACCTGTCAGGTAAACTGCATCTCTACCTTAATATTATAAGATGTATAGCCTTGGAATTTCCCCCAACTCTCCGTATATTCTCATTATAGCTGTATGTTTTCCTGCTCCTAGAATGAATTCGGAATAAATGTTCATGTATCACCGTCCCTTATATAGTAGTATGGATTGAAATAATGTTGCTATGCATTTATTAAATTCATTTAAATTAAGAAATTCGTGGTAATCAATATTTTTAACTGGCATATTCATACTGGTCCCATTCATTTAACAAAGCCGCTGTGCGTGAACAATACAATACAATTCAATTCAGTGTAACACATTTTCTGTTTCAGTAGAGCACTGGGGGCAAGTTTTGATCCCACCCTTCCTGTATACGACGGACTTTTACTTTTAGAAAACAGGTCACCTGATTTCTTAATTATAAAAAGTTAATATATATACAAGATTATTATTTCTTACTACTATACGGGAAAGAGATCGATGTTTAATAAACCAACCAACCAAACACACACGTTTCGACGTATATGTAATCAGCAGTGAATCACGGTCAACGACCTGCCAAAAAACTGGGATTTTCTAAATTATCTGATTTTCTGACTTCCTATTTCTGAAAATCATTCTTTTTACTTCAGAGGCAACTGTGAATAATGATGTTGTACCACACTGTTCTAAGTTTCGACGAAATGGTCTTTCTACCAATGTCGAGAACCCTGCACTGCGCCACCACACCACCAAGTTGTGCTATTTTAATAAACGAACATATTGTCTCAATTATTGACCAATGAATGGCATTTGTTTACTCGTCAAGTAATTTATTACTGTAAATGATTGAACATCGGTATTTTTTTTTACATTTATCTACGGTATCTCGTGTGGGACCTGACTGAACTTTTACCACTGTTTTATAATACAATACAAGTTCTGAGTAATGCGATATTTTTAGAAATGATTTACTTTCAGTTTGCTGAAGAATTGCGTTTGTGTGTGAATGGAAACTTGTGAGCAGGGTCGTATAGAATAGGAGTCTTATACAAAACAAAGCATTTTTTTATTGTAACATGAGCGCTTCAATTTAACATACTAAAAACTAGAAAATTACATGAAATGCAAACTATTTATATTTACGCTACGAACGTCGGGATTATTTGAGCGGGAGAATTCTAAGTAGTCAGTCCGATATGATGAAGCGTTCTTATTTCAAGACTAATTTGCTACTATAATATACTGAGAAAATATACATAAGTAAAATATCTGTAACTAAGCTCTCCAACAATGTTATCACTTTCGATTTGTTCTGGAATTTTCCAGATTTGTAATAATAAAACTGTTTCTGTTTTTCATGTCAGTTTATATGTAAATACATGTTTAAGATGTGACATGTAACTAATCAATCACCAAATAAAACAAATAAATAAATAAGTATAACCAGTGTTTTTCATTCACGGTTACTGATAACTTTTCCAATGAAATCCATAGCACCCCGTTGGCAGGCCAGTCACACTGGTTCTCACTACAAGAGGTTACGATTCCCCTGCTAAATGCTAAGAACAACTGAAACTAATATATACATATTTACATGAAAAATTTTCCACCTATGCGGATCTGTTTGTGCGGGAGTTTTACGACCGTGTGCCTTTACTGACGTCAACCAAAATTGTTATGTGGGAAATTAGCACCCAAGGCTTACAGGTACTACACCTTGCCCAAGGGTGACCTGGCGGTAGTTGTGGCAAAGGGTAACCTCATTCTCCGAAGTCCATAAACAAATTGCACAGTATAATTGCTGCAATGTGTACTAATAAATTTGCCAAATAAACATGGTGTTTTGAAGTAAACAGAAAGTCACGGGCAAGCAACAATGTTGTTGCCATATAGCCATACACTGTGAGATGACTCACTAATATTAGAAGGCTTGTCATACATCCGGGCATACATCACGTCAACCTATAAGTTGGTAGATTACGCGATAAGATACAAAACACCCTAAGCACATAAACATTAGATCCTAAACGAGTAATTAGAAGGATGTGTCGCCAATGAAGTATGTTTACTACTGAAATATATATAACTAATTCAATAGATTAATAAGTATGAGTCGGGTTTTATTTATTTTTTTATTGCAATGCAAAATATTCGAAAAAAAAAAATATTAAAGGCAGTCGTATTGGTGTATCGCACATGGTTAAATGTTTCAAAAGACTTCCGGGTTTGAGGGAAATACCCGATTGCTAAAATAATTGTTAGACTTTGCCGTATTTCAGAATATGACTGGCGTTTTATTCACACTTTTTCTATAAAGAGGTGATATAGGTGCGATACATATATTTCATCTACTGGTTAGGTGAGCGGCTATATTAATATAGGGGCTCTTTAATATTTCACTGGCTTATGTACCGGGTAGAGGTCGGTCACGTGGTGGGAGAAAGTATTTCGAGCGGGGTCAACATACATAGCAGCGGCATCATCGTTAGTCCTACTTCGATGTAAATTTGAGTTAAATTTTCTTCAAAATCGTCCTAGACGTAGTATATTCTGATTTAATTCTCATAGTGCTCTGCATTCTAGGTAAATGTTCAGAGTCTCGTCGAATTATCGGTGGATTTGCAGTGCGAATTCTCCCAAGTTGTTTCCCACGTGTCGTCATTGTATTGGTCTAGTCGCCATCTTGATTCCAAATGTTTGAGTTTGCCTTTACGGTTACTCGGAAAATTTCATTTGTTCTTGGCAATATTTGAGATTATCTTCCGCTTTAGATAACGGATGGTGCTTTTGAGGTTTGGAGAAAAATACATTGAAAAATAGAGTGGGAAACAAGCGGAAAATAACAAAGCGGCCCGTTTTTGTGGTCCAATTTTTTTTAGATGTCCAGTGTTTCTGAAGATCAAAGTGACCAGTGCTCGTCCCCACCAACGAAGAAGTTGAAAATACAAGAAGAAAACTCCACTACGGGTGCCAAGTGTTCATCACACAACTCTGTCGCGCCTTCCCGAGACGTAAGTGTTACGAATTGAATTGAAATTTGAGCGTTTCAGCGACTTGTTAATGTTAACGCCTGGGCAGACTTATAATGTTTTTGGTGACAGTTGTCAGACACTCGCACAAAAATATAGGAAACCGGTTTTCACTCTGAGTAAAATAGCTCATTTTAGAAGCGATTGTAATGTTCGTCTGCATACCAATTCCGTAATCCGAATCTGGCCATCAGGCTTTTGCTTCTAAAAATATATTTTTTTTAATAATTATAATATTGCCGGGGCTGTAGACAAAAATATTGAAAATAGTTGCGCCATACGGCTCTTTTATTAATTAGTATTTTAAGAACTTTAAATAGACACTTGGCCAAGTCAATTAAGTTCACCCATTGTGTTTCACAATTGAGGTGTACATTTACATGTAACTGTATCCTTTGTCCTGAAATCCTTTGTCTGCCTGGAGATTGCTACTGTGAATAGCAGGTGTCAAAATTGTCTTTGTCTGCTGAAAGCATGCTTATATTTACACACACCATCATCTTCCAGATTAAATGGTACACTTGAAGTTTAGATTTCTAATTTGGTGGATGGGGGTGGGGGTGTACTCAACGCCTAAACAATTGGGATTATCTTGCAGTCCTTCAAAGTTTATTTCTAGTTCTTTTCCTGTTGGTGCTAGATATTGACAAATGTGATTTAATATGTTATCTTTAAGTTATAAACACTAAGGTTTGTATCAACAAACCTGTTTTTTATAGTATTGTAAATTTTAAAGGCAGTTGAATCCGACCAGCCATTCAATGAGCACAGTGGACATACACATCATTTAAAAATGTTCCAGTGTTATTCCATCTGCCAATAAAAACCTTGTTTCAGTTGAATTATGAAATTCATAAATATTTATAAAGATTAAGAAAATTGAGTTTGTCATGCCAGTGTAGTGGACACAAACATTGAATAGAATATTGTATTCTGTACATAATATAGTATCTAAATTATTTCTCCAGCCTGCATACTATGGATATAATGATGGCGTAAATAGATTTTATGAACATTTTAAAAATATCTATATAATATGTACTGTAAAATCTGTATTAGAAGCCACAGCTTCTATTAAAATGGTGCATTACAACAGAGGAGATGCAGTTTCTAGTGGAGCATCTGCACATATGAGAAATGGTGAATTTTTGGTATTCAATTGTTAAAAAAAAATTGGTGCAACTTCTATTAGGGATGCTACTTGTGCAGATTTAATAGTACTCCTGAAGATCATTGTACTTCATTCAAATCCATAGACACTTCCATCCTTGACCTTCCATCATAAAATGGGTCTAGGCTTCCATTAGCTATAGAAACTATATAACTCGCATTACCTAGGAGTTTTATATATATATATATATATATATATATACATATGAATATTTTATATGAAACAAATTTGTGTCTTCATGAAATTTAGTCTGCCCGGTTCAGAATTTAATTTGTGTACGTTGTCATTATTAAAGCCAATGTATATTACCATGAATAGTTGAACAAGTCGTTCACTACTAAACCTTTCAATCAGTGCACATCTCCTTAAAATGCTCATCAGCTGCTTTTCAATTGAAGAACACAAAATTTTATATACGCACAGTCATTGTGGTATGTTCATGGATGTGTAACAGCAGAAATTGTCACGTAAAACAGCGAGTCACTCCAAAAATGGAGCAAAATGTGAAACTCCTCCTTCTGTCTCTCTCTGTGATTGTACTTAAGCTCAAACAAAATTCCCATTTCAAATACAGCCATACTATTAGTATAACATTTTGCATTGTAATACTTTATCAGAATTGTTAATGAAGGAATGTACCAGTATTTTGTGTTATGTGTGTTATAAATTATAGAAGTTCATGTTGAATAGTGGGCGCAAGGCATTTTTAAAGTTACTTAGCATCTAGACAATAACCCATGATGCTCTGCTTCATCAAGCATTTTCTCCATTATGATTGCTATATCAAGAACATATACCCCCTCACTACTGCATGTGTACAAAACAGTGTTGGTTGGTTTAGTGGTTTTGGGGGTTTGTTAGTAGCATCCATGTTTAGCTCGAGGACTTAACAATGAATGACTTTGGTCGTTTGTTCAGGATTATTAAAACAGTTTTTAAATACAAATGAACTGTGATTAGCTAGGAGATACCATTTTGTACTGCATTCAATTCAGTCAAAATTACAAATTTTAAAAATTACTAGTATTAACCCCATGTTTAAATTGCAGTGAATTGTAGTACAACGTTCTCATTCATTGGCATTATAATTACATAATAATTACATGATTGACTTTCGAACAGGAATGATTATGATTTATATATTTATTTCTGTATTCTACTTGCAGGTGAAGATGTCTGCCAATGGAACAGATGAGATTGATGAAGGCCTGTATTCAAGGCAATTGTAAGTACAGTATAAATAGCTAATAAGTATAATTCACCTATCAACCAAATCATCTTATGAATTCAGAATTACAGTGGACACATCAATAATCAAGACACTAATACTGAAAACCTAGTTCAAAGTCATTGCTTCTTAACTGGCTCAGACACGAGTCAACCACAATGTTGAAGTACATGTGTTTGCTGCGAGACTATTAGTTTGGACAACTCTGTTAATGATAAAACATTTGCATTTGAATCATCGTGCATCATCAGAATTGTCTATCACCTGCTTTTACTTAGGCTAACTCGAGGTATTTTTCACTTTTCACTAGTATCTGTAAACATGTTTTTTGTCATGGACTGAAACTGTCCTGATTTGGATCTCGACTCAATTGAGGCCACGCAAATGTCGCTTCTTATTTATTGCCCAAAACCATTCACCAAAAGATACATTTATTGATAAGTTGTTAAACAAACATAAATGACTTGTATTTGGTTGGCCTAAAATAACATAACAGTGACTTAATGACCAGTATTTTCAACCCATGGGAGTCCTGTTCTATCAATGTTTGGGCCTTGTACACTACAAGTGTTCATTATGATATTCATGTATACGATACAAGAGTCCCATGTGATGTCAATGTATGTAAAAACATTGTTCACATAAAATTTAAAGTGTGCTCATGGTGACTGGCATTTAGCCATTACGTTATCTTGGTCGTCTTCAAATAAAATTTGCATACTCCTGACCCTTGAACCAGCAGATTGTTATCAATATCCTGCTACAAACCAGCAGATTGTTATCAATATCCTGCTACAAACCAGCAGATTGTTATCAATATCCTGCTACAAACCATGAATAAAATAGAGAATTGAAAATAATCACCTTTACTTTATGATTCCAAAGTTTCAGACATTATCAAAGACAAACACTTCAAATGTTCAGTGTTCAAATTTTGTGAAGTGCTTTGTATTGGACCCAAACTGAACATGGCCTGTGTCAACTGCCACTCTTGAAAGCCTCTAGTTAGTGGTTAATTTTAAGTAATGTTATGATTAACCTTTTTAGCTCCACTGTTGACTTTGTCGAGCGGAGCTTGTAATATGAGTGATCGTCTGTCAACTTTTTACTCTATTGACTTCTTGAAAACTACAATTTTTATTGCTTTGATACTTGGTGTATATTATTACCTTGCTTCAATTCTTTAATTTTTATTTTCGTCTTGTTGAAAACCGGAAGTCTGATTGCTTTGATATTATATATAGGTAGTACAAGTAGAGCTCTCTCAGATTTGGTAAAAAGTTATATTTTTGAATTCTTGTTGAAAAATACAAGTCCCGATTGCTTTGATACTATACATATTGTTCATTTTCTAATGATATCTTTAGTTCTTTGATTGAAATGTGCATTGCTAACAGCGGTGCTATCTCAGCAGAGAGCCTGCTTGATATCTTATTGATTTTGTAGTAGTTGAGTGATACACCCTGGCTCATGTACCCTGATGAATATTCATGAGAAATGATTTCTTTCAGTCTGATTCAGCATTCCAAGTATATCGGTCATTTTATTTTTCAATAACTTAAATGTTTCTTCTATAGGTATGTACTTGGCCATGATGCTATGCGACGAATGGGTGCTTCTAACATCCTCATTTCTGGTATGAAAGGTCTTGGTGTTGAGATTGCTAAGAATGTTGTTCTAGGAGGAGTAAAATCTGTAACTATTCACGATGAGGGAACGGCAGCGATGACAGACCTCGCTTCCCAGTTTTTTTTGCGCAAAGAAGACATTGGGAAAAATCGGGCAGAAGTTACCCAACCTAGATTAGCAGAACTTAACACCTATGTACCAATAACATCTTATACTGGACCCCTCTCTGAAGATTATGTTAGTAAATTTCAGGTAAGTTGACTTCCTGGAAATGTTTTTTATATAAAATAACTCTTGCTAATCTGTTTT